CCATGAAAACGCTGTGAAGATGTGCAAACACCATGGAGCAAAGGGTAATAAAGAAATGCGAGCTGCATCATGTAATCGTCCAGTTTCACAAGATTATGACACATTCGTTGTTCTAAATTCAGAGCAATACTTCACTTTTTGCACAAGGATACTGTAGTGTATGTAAGTACTCGTACAAAGGTTGTACGAGTATCTCGTGAAATGGATAATGGCCTATGGCTAATGTGCCGTAGCAACGGTATTGTTGTTGTCCGTTATTGTTGCCATGTCTAGAGTTTAGTTGGTTGTCCCGAGCGGACATAATAAAAGATTATGGCGTTCATTCAATACATGATAGATACTGTGCTTAAGTTGTGCTCGAGTAGCATTTCTCGGCACATCCTGCGAAAGCCACAAGCGGGCGAGGTGACGGATTGAAATAGTTACCGGAATAAAATACCTAAAAAAGAAAACTATGGATAAATGGATAAATACATAAACTTTGTTGCCGTAGATAGTTCTCTTTCTTACTCTAGATATTCACATAGTTCATTTATCCCCTACTCTATGAAACTTGTTAGGAATATAAACCCAATTTTCTGGTTAAGGCAAAAGTGAGCTGTAGCCTGTATCAAAACTCCAAAGTATGCACAGGCAATGACAGGCTGATATCGGTGTTTTTGCGTGTATGCCAAATGAACAGCTGCAGTTTACTTACCTGATTCTTACCTGGCCTTCCGTTAATAGTTCGTTTGAAATACTCGTACGTGATCATAATATCACATGCGACTACGCGCGTATGCTTCAAATAGAAAGCAACATTGTCAAACAGAAATCGCTGCTTAAGATGTTATGCTGTCTTTGTAAAAGCGCTCAAAGACGTCGCCATTCTTTGTTAGTCAGCGGCTTCCTACAAATCAAGCAGCACCAAAAGCACTGATAATACAAGGCTCCATGAAAAGGAGGATCTCTTTAGAAGAAAAGGAGGATCTCTTAAGATATTATCAAATCTTTATCTACGAAAAAATGAAATAAGAAACAACAAACGCGAGCTTCGAATGATCGGTTACTTTGTCTGGAGCCGCCCACATATACTCTATCCATTAATCATTCGTATAACATGATCCAATCACCGGAAATCTTTGAAGCGAACATTTTTGTGACGAGCCGTATGACCTATGGGACCAGCGATCAGTAGGCAGCGCTTAAATTATTCGGTTTGGCCATGCGGGTTTTTACCCCGAAACAGTTTACTTATTCAGAGGTTTCATGGAAGAGTTATTTGGTAGACTTTCTAACAAATAAGTAAGAATGTAAAATATGCATAACCGAAATTAGCCAACAGCATCCATGGCTAACGGTTCCAGTGCACAGTGTGGGTGTATGAGGAGGATTAGCTAAATGGAATAGATGTTTCAAACTGAAAAATCAGCTGACAGTTAGTATGCAGAAGACGCTTTCTTAATCCAGCAAAACAACCTGTTTGTACGAGATATCTTACCTTGTGAGCCGGCTCTGATCATTATGTTCTCCCCTTTAGATGAAATAAATTACTCCAACCATTGCGACGCGTTGCACAATGCGACTGTTCAACCGTCCATTGCGGATGTTTTCCGGTCACCGGGAAATTTATTATGGCTCATCGGAGCGGTACTCTTCTGGATCTTTGGCTCGTGTTACAATGCCCATGAAATTGTGGTGTTTGTTCGACGCAAGGCCCAGTATCGGCCGGGTGACGTGCTTATCTTCGCCCTGACGTTGGTACACTTTGTGTCTTCTGTAGTTACGATCCCTGGTTTATTGGGCTATACAGTGTCTTATAATGTCTGGATATTCGGCGACGCCAGTTGCATTATATGGCAATATTTCGACTGGATTTCTACTCCGATCATTGCGCTACTTATAGCCGCAATCCATCTACAATTCGTCGTTCAATCATTTCTTCGGAATATTCGTCACCCGTTCATACAAGAAATTGTTGTTGTTTTCCTTATAATAATCGGCAGCAATTTACTATTCTTCCCCGCTTACATTAGAAACCAAAATCTGTCTCGAATGAATGGTTTTCCGATACCAGCGTGTTCAATGCGCACCTATCCAGATATTGCCGGTTGGTCGGGATATTTTCTTGTCGGTGGCTATTTTCCGATGCTGATCATTGTCGTGTGTGATGCGATTGTTTTGGACAACATACTGCGTCAACGTCGACATGCTGTTTCCCAGCTGAATGGCCGTCCCAGTGCCATGGATCTCGTAACACTGGATACGTCGCCATCTAATCCGCCTTTTTGCTCGTCGGTTGTGTCGGTTAATGGGGAATGTATGGAATCCCACAATTCAAGAAATACTAGCAGACGGATGCGAGGAGTGACGTGGCTGGGAGCTGCGTATCTGTTATTGTGGCTGCCTTATCTGGTGTTCAGCACACTGGAGCTGTGTCTCAATGTTCATGCCTACTGGCCTGATGTGTTGACGTACTGGCTGAGCTATCTGTGCTCAGTGATTCTGCCGAATGCGATGAAAAAATTCTAATTAATTATGCGCACATCCTAAATATTTTCTTTTTGGGGGCGGAATTTCGTATTTCTCGCTCTAACCAATACTTTTCATTGCATGGTGTTGTGTGTCAGTTACTGTACAGTCTGTAGGTGGTCTTATTTTATTATACTGTAAATCTAAGCAGATTGTGCGAGTAATATCTTGATTTTCCAGTTCGTTTTTACAATTTCGCGCTCAACGGAACTGGAAGTAAATAGGCAAATCGGCCCGTATCACGACATTTTGCTTTTTAGTGCTGCTGCATTCGTAACAAGGATAATACATAAATTCACCATAACATGTTATACAATTGATTTGTTGATGTTGTTTTTATGACGCTGTCCCCTCCATTTAAGGTTAATAAATTACTGTGTATTGGCCTTACAATCAACAGCTATCGGTACTCGTAGGGCTTGTGCCATAGCTTCTCGTTGTCACATAATATGCAGCAATTACCAGGGTCTTGTAGGCTTATTCAGATTCTGCACAGAATACAAAGCCAAGAATATTGTCAAAACAATAATACTACATGCTTCATCTGTATACTCTCCTCGAGATGGCCCCCGTTCACTGGCAATAATGACCATGAAATACCGGGCGAAGAAAACGATCTTCGAGCTTTCACTGCTACAATAATTAGTTTGGTACTGTCTCGTGCAGTGCAGTTACTGAACCAGCAGATTATTAAGAGCATCATTTTGTTAACCAGCATGTCGCATGATGCTTATTGTCCCTTTTGAACCGGCATCGTTCCAACGCCAGCGCAAAAGCGTGATTAAATTGAATGCGAGCCCATTATACAGATGCCGTGCTTAGAACAGTTTACGTGCTATGGAGCTGAGGAATCCTTACAGAAATAATATGCAAATAAAGGAAACCCACGCAGTGTCATGACCTGACAAAGCTAGTCCAGAGCATCCTCCTAGCGACCGCCAGTTTTAAATCCATTGCACAACGTTAGCAGAAAGCCTGAGACGGTTGCTTATGAACTATTCAAACTTGTAAAATTATCATTGCGATGGCAAAGATGCAAATGCCACTGAATAATTCCGTCAACGGATCAGACCCGGGAAATATTTTCCAGTCGCCAATAAACATAATGTGGATAGTCTGGTCGTGTATATTCTGGATTGTAAGCACCTTTCTGAACATCCATGATTTTTGGCGCTTGTTGCGGATCCGCAAAAAATGGATTCCGGGGTCGGTTTTTCTAGTTGGTCTGAGTTTGACTGATTTCTTAGTAGCACTGTTAACCGTCCCAGGATTGATGGGCTACTGTATCGCATATAACTTCTGGGCGTTCGGCGATCTAAGCTGTTTTATCTGGCAGTATTTTGATTGGGTTACCAACCCGATGACTGCGTACTTCATCGCGTGCATACATGTGTACTGCGTCGTGCAAAGGTGGTACGGCACCCAACTCCGACGACATGCGGAAATTATAATAACGGTTTTCGCTTTACTCTGGGCAGATTTGTTATTCTTACCGGCATATTTAACGGAGCATATTTTACCCTGGCTAACCGGACATAGTCACGTGTTGTCGTGCAGCATCCAGACATACCCAACGATATGGCCATGGGCAGCATTCCTTTGGCTAGGTGCATATTTGCCACTTGGTATAATTTCTGTCTGCGACGGAATTATTCTTTGTGGTATGGTTAAAAGAGGGAAAGTCCAGCGGTATTCGCCGCAGATGGCGAGAGGCACTTCAAGTGGAATTAATTTAGCGGACTTCGATAGCACCAACATCAGTTCGGATGCGCTCGGTCGACAAGTATCCACAATCGACGCAATCGATCAGCCGAGAAAAACGGAGATAGGGTGCATTGAACCGGCGAGCAAACGATGGCTGGTCCAACCTGTCGCCGCCGCAAACAGAATGAACGAACGCACCGTGTTAATTAGCGGTGTCTTATTCTGTTGTCTTTGGACACCGTTCTACATTTACAAGGGAATGGAAATCTACTGCAACGCACATATATACTGGGTAGACGTCGGTGTCTATTGGCTTAACTATCTTTCTGTCCTGATTTTTCCTATCCTTTTCAAGCGCTTCTAGCGCAGGTCGTCAGAGATTGTTTTGTCGGCTGTTGTCGATGAACCGTGGGCAGGCGGCATACATGCATGTACTGTATTTACTGTATGTGATTATTGTTAACTCAGTTCTGCTGTTCAGTCGATAATGCGTACCACCAGTAGTAGTATTAATTAGTATGTCAGTCTTGCTTTAACTATTCCTGCTAACATGCTTTGTAGAAGCGGTAATTTTGCTTACATCTGATTTTAATTGCCTTTCTTTTCCGCATCTGTTACTGCTTGCAGCAGGAACCTTACTTTTCGTAGCATCAAATGAATTTACTGTTATACTGGTTTTTTTTGCGGAAGCGAAAATGGCCTCGAGGGTAGCCAAGAAATCGTGGCAATGGGTTGCAGTATTTCGTTTGATTTCTGTAAATTATAACATCAGTCGCCACGTTCAGAGTGGTTTACGGTACATATGACCGAATCTCCGTTTTGCTTTCTTTATTAATATCGAATGGGTTTCGTACTGTAGCTTTGCAGCTTCCGCAGACAATTTAGTTATACGCCTTACGCCTTAAAGTTTCCTCGCGGTTGGTCCCCCCCCCCCCCCGCCGGCTGCCCAATGGCACTTTTGGGGACGTTATTATTAGTTTTGCTGTTGATCAATGCAGGTTCGGCTTTATACTGGACGGCATTATTATATAATATAATATACATCTGCAGTCAGGCGGTTGTACTTTGTATCCGTGCTATGCATTTCAGGTGTCCATTTAGTTGAAACTCTCACAACGTTTAACCTGACGCCCATGACAATGCGCGAATGCAACGCTCGGCCGACAAATCCCTGCGGACCGCTGACGTTGAAGAAGTCGGATTGCTATGCCTATCAGAAGCCGGGTCGAACGGCCATGCATTCGGGGGTAGCAGTACCGGTAGCAGTTTCCTCCCAGGATGACGTAACGCTGGGTGCGGTTCAGAGGCATGTACGATTGGTGTGCACCGCCAGTGAAGTCAGTGCAACGAAAGAGGTAGAAGTACTTGTGAAATATTTGAAAGTTTATTTATCTTAGTAAGACAACAAAACCTTTCGTTGTTGCTATGATGGCCATTGTTGATAAAAACATTGCATCTTGATAACAGAAAATATTATATTATTTTTATCATGACTGACTGACATTTTTATCATGAATCTGACCTCAACCAAAAGAAACTTTCCAGAAATTTTATTTGTTTTATTATTAACAGTTTGGCTTTTGATTTTCGAAGGATACGTTACATAGAACATCAACAGATTTTCATGAACTGCTTCCTACTCACCAGGAGTACAGATACTGTAGTTGTGCAAAAGTAAATGGTTGCTTAGGTAATTACAGGATTTACAGGGCTGTATAATTACAGGATTTTGTTAAGCAAGTGAAGGCCATCCGCAAATGAAGCGCTGATCGCGCCGTCTGGACACAAATTGAGAACGTTGATTTCTTGACGCCGGATACCCTAGGACTCATCGGTCAACAGGTCGTTGTCCTGCGACTGGCAGACTTCGACCAATCAAATGTCACATCGTTACTGCCGGCGCTGCGATTGGAAAATCTCGTGGATATATTATTTAATACGCGACTGACCAGTCTCGTTCTGCGCAAGAGTGACTTTAGCTCGTTGCAGAGTGTGAAAATCATTGTCTTCCGTGACACGCAAATTGCTTCTGTGGAAGAAGGAACATTCACCGACCTTCCCAATTTGATGTATTTGGCGCTGGATGATGATATCAGGAGTGTAGTGGATTCTGTGCGCAAACTGCATTGCGATCCACAGTATAAGTGGTTGTGGGCGTTTGTTACTTCCCACCGGCTGCACCGGAAGTACGATTTGGGTGAGGTGTATAAAATTGGCGGTTTGTCCAACGAAGTCTTAACGGAGAAAGACCCGTATGACGTTGTGTTTTGCACCACGCCCAACGAGACGCTTGTTACTCTTAAGACAAAGGAATCTACCATAACTTTGGATCTCTTTAAATAGAAAATGCGAACGTCCGTTGGATTACCGCAAAAAAATTAAGGGGGCTTCATGTTGTACTTAATATACGAGGATGAACGCAATCAAACCGGCAGTAAATTTTTTCAGTCAGACCAACCGACAACCACGCGCACAGGCAAATTGTTTTTTCACATAACAGCCACCCGTGAAAGGGAGGTATGGTTTGCTCTGTATGCGTGGAACAGGTGACAGGCATCCGTGGATGGTTGGCAGTCGCTTGCACTATATGCACGGTTGTCGGTTGGTCTCGCTGAAAAAATTTACTGTCGGTTTGACTGCGTGCATCCTCGTATGGCGATATGGTCCTAAAACGAGGGAAGAATTTTGTAAGTGAAAATTTTCTTCGTGGTAATTTTTGACGTTGACCTGTATTTCTGCTACACGCGCGAAATATTGTTGTAATTATCGTTAGTATTGACACCTTCTCTCTCGGTTTTATTCAAACGTTTTTCTGTTTACTGCATCGAAATAAATATGCGAATAAGAACGTGTTAGGTAGGACATCTCGTTTTCCATTGCAATCGCATTAATACTGCAGCAAAAATAACAGACTTCAATATCGACAATAATAAATTCACCTCAACAATACATATGTAATTTTTACCACCGGTATGCCACGCTCTTGCTGCTTCCATATCTCGATGTCAATGAAAAGTGCAGCAGTTATGCCAACACAGAAAGTATACACTGATATATACAGAAAGACGAGATCTTTCTCCTCTAACGGCAATAACCTTCCAACACCGGTCCATGTCCGGGTTTTGCCGGGATGCCGATGCGCAGCGAGCAGTGTGCGCTGCAGTTCAATCGCCACTGCAGCACTCCACGTGTTTCTCTGCAAAACTGCTTCAAGCACAACTCTTTGGATATTGTCTGCAAATAGTCAGCAGAAGCAGAACCCATAAATGTTTTATTAATCCATCAGATGTCATTCAGTCGATGGTTCCCGCGAATTTTGAATATTCCATCGACCGAGAAATCTGCATAAGTGTTGTTGAAAATCAAGGAAATCCACGCATTGCCATGACCTGATAAAGCATGTCTATAGATTTCTGCAGTATTTTTGTCTGCTCTCCCCTTTGCCTTTGTCATACGGCTGCTTGCAAAGGGCACGAATGGTATTAATTTAGTAGATTTTGATACAACTTAGCCGCTAATCGATGTTATGTACCAGCGGAAACAATGACACGGTTTTCCATATTACGTAATTTTCGCATTAGCAACCGCGCATGATTCGTATTCGTTTGCAACATAAAGGATGCTAGAACAGACAACGCTGCAGACAAGTATTACAGCTCTTCAGAAAATCCATCCCACGACACCATCGTTGTGAAAGTACACAAAGACTGTCACAACAATAGTGTGTGACTGAGCTCTTTTCCCTGCGTGTGTACGTGTGGTGTTGTGTGTGAACAATGTCTACTGTACAAACACTACCCTAAGAAAATTATCGAGCACACGAGAATGTCGCTTTCCGCTGTTATTATCGCCTGCAGGCTGCAGCGATCGCCAATGCTGCCAGCAATGTCTTATCGGTTGTCATTACTAAGACGTTTGCTAGACTTGGTGCAACTTATGACTCAGCATCCCCGATTGCCCTACAGGTAAATTCACGGGGAATGTGGTTTGGTAATAATTTTATTTGCCTGTTTTGAAAATAATAAGCTCGTACTGATTCATGCCACGGTAAAATTTTACAGAAAACACAGCAGAGGTGATTTCTTTTTCTTCCGGGCTGTTCATACTTGTGCCTCCTTTACAATGCGCATGAGGTTGTCATTAATTCTGCGTTGGCTTATTGCAGGTTTGACTTTTCGCTTGCTATAACAGTGGCAAACTCTGCAGAGACATGTTCCCTATCTATGTTACGCATTTTAGGGTCTCTCTTCGCGGACACCTTGTCGATGTTTAATTGGAAACCTACGACTCTGCGTGAATCGGTGAATGCAACACTCGACCTATCAATATTTGCGGATCACTGACTCTGTAGAAGTCCGATTGTCTTGGCCAGGAGAAGCCGGTAAAATAAAATGTTTTTTTCACCCGCAACGTAGAAGCTGTCGGTGTATCTGGCCAACTTATAACATTTCTATATATATAAAATGTATAGATGTCTCTTTAGGTCCACCCAACTGTCTACGGAAACCTGCGATTATTGTGATAAAGGTGAACGATCCCGTCACCAGTGTGGTATACTGTGTATCAAACTGGTTCCGGCATTGTCCACCACCAACCGAATTGTTGCGCCGGCTGACCAGCTTTCGGTAAATACATGAACATAGTACAAATCCAGCGCCGATCGATGTCAGGGCCCAGCCCACCTAAAAATTCAAAATTGTTATCCTACATATTGTTGGAGACTAGGATTTTATGCAGTACTCTTGGGTGCCCAAATTTTCATGACACATCGGCAGTAAAACTGTCAATATGTTTGTGTTGCATCTATGTGGAAAAATTTTAAGGGCAGTAATTATGGCTTTTCATTACGTTTTTCATTTCCGTCACATGGTGTTATCAGCGCATGTAGAGGCATACTGAACTGGTTTGTATAGTGGCTAATTTTCAAGTAAAACTGTGTAATGATACTGTACGGGTACACCATCCCTAGTTTGTATGCGTTAGAATAATAGTTGTTTGGAAAATACAATTATATTCAACAATGCAATTTGTTTTGCAATAAAATATGCGCATGAATCACGTTCAACAGAAACGCTCTCCTGCAATCATTAGACGCGACGGTAGAGAAAGCGCGCGCTTCTCTCTGTTCAGTGCCGATACAATTTGTTTAGGCGGCTGTATGGTGTATACGATGCAGCCCAGCCGTGCTATTGCCGGCTTGCGCTCCAACAAAAGTATCAAATTTCTCTGGTGCTCTGGTTCGGCTGATATACTGGAGTTCTCATAGACAATGCAAAGGATCGGAAGGGCAGAAGTGTGGGCGCATTTCGGCAGATCTATGGGAGGATAACCACTTTCCTGCCGGGCTCGCCAACAGTCAACAAGACAACATGTTTGCCGGCTACAGGCGCTCTCCTGTGTGCTCCTGAAGTCTTTTGCCCAGCTCCTTCACAATAGCGATAGCCAACGGGCCTCAAAGGCCCATGATCTCAAAGGCGATGGGAGAAAAGATAAAGCGCCCTTGCAGACACGCGTTCAGTCGGAATTTCTTTTCTTCTGCTTGTACGGCCGCAGTTCCTGCCTTAACCGACGTCGATGAGAGATAGAAAAGGGCCATTGTGTCTACGCGCGTCACATCCCAGGCCGGACTCATTCTTTTCCAGTCGAACGTTGTATAACCGTCAGGGCGTTGGCCTGTTGTGGGAGACGTGGGGACGTGCCGCCTGTTTCAGGCTTAGAAAGAACACCAGCTGACACACAAGCCCGGCGCATATTACTGTTTGGTCCTCCGTGGCGCGCATGTCTACCTGCCGAGTAGCTGCATGATAAACCGTGGTGTCCCAACTTGTCAACGTGTTTATTACATTTGGTACAGTTATATGGCTCGCAGATATCCGCTCCAAGACGCAGGCCAATTGAAATTTTCATCGTTTCGTCGTCGAGGCGATTGCCGATGTGTGCTGAAAGAAGCGCATTCAACCAAATACCGGCTTCCGGTTTGGACTGTGCAAGGAGGCGGGCTGTGTTGATGCCGTCGTCGCAAAACAAGTCCAATAAAACCGAGACTGACACATTACAGAGCGGTAACTCCCACGTTATTTGTAGCTTTCGGAGGGCAACTTCTCGCACTTTTGATTGACGGCTTTAGGTTTCCACAAATCCTTCGGAAGCGTCCACTGCCGATAGGTGAGGAAACATCGGCCATTGGCCAACAGGTCGACACACTGGCCAACACTCCTTTGGCTGAAAGCGATCCGCTAGTCTGACGTCGCAGCTTTGTTACCTGCACGGAAATTGGAATCTCGTTCGAAGCAGCTGCGCCAAGGCTACGACATGGGAGAGGTGTACTGTAGCCGCTAGACAAGATTGCACCACTTTTAGATCCAGCCGTAGCCTGCCACTGGCCGGGCACTGAGCACGAGCCTTCCTCCCACCGGGCGGCGCACACGCTACATTTTGATTTTAATGTGTTAAAGCCAGCTGAATTCTGAAACATCTGCCCCTGCCAGGGGCACCCCAAAAACCGCAACAAATCAGGTTTACAAAACTATATCAGAGCTCTGAATTTGTCATTTCTTAAAATTTTTGTTGCCAATAGGTAAATAACTCTTTTATCCCCTCCAGAGCAGTTCACCAAGCAATGGCTTCAAATTAAAAGCAGAACACCAAATATTGTTGCAGGGTGCAAATTGTGTATATTGGGCTTGCATTTTCCCGTACACCAGACTCTGTGGTGCAATCTGGTCTAGCGGCTACAGTACATGATCGGGACTCTTTTTAACGAAGTGTTGACGGATTCCGTTAAAACCTATTCCCTTGAATGTGTCACCGATAATACACCACTTGCGGATGGGAGAACAGACCAAGAAAAAATTGAGACCTTACTTTCCAGTGCAGCGGTTAGCGCTGCGGATATAGTTTTTGCGTAATAACCGTGATCCTCCTTCCCATAACCGGAACAGCGTCATGGAATCCGCGCGCGACCGGTATCCATGATGCAGTATGTCTGAAAATGGACTTTCCGTTGGTTATGTTTCTGTTCTGTCTTCCGGTTTTTTTCGCGCGCATTTTCAGATACGAAAATCGATTCGCCAGGTTATGCGTTTTGCTTCTGATTTAGTGTTGTATCCAGATGACAGACCAGCAATTCTACAGACATTGACCAAGTCTTATAGCCAGACTAAGTCCGCTTTGCCGTACCCGTAAAGTATTCATACTTCGATATGTATCCATATTTCGATATGTATAAAGTATCCATACTTCGATTTACCCAAACCCCGTAAAGTATCCAGGAGCCGAGACGTGCAACTGATTTGCAAGGGAGCCGGAACGTGTGACAAGTCGAAGTACAGGGGTGCCGCGCCAAGTTCGGACAGTTGCGCAAATTAAATTAAAAAATATTTCTGCACTTGTTTTTACTTTTTATTTTGCACTTTTCTAGTGTAACGTTTTATTGCAAATCTGAATATGAAAAATTGAAAATTGAAATGCTAGATGGGTAGTAAGTAGCCAAACGGTTAAAACAAGGATGGGGTAGTGGTCATCTCCAGAGGGCTTATAACTGACCTTCTAGAATATTCCCCAAGTGACATTTTTTCATGAACAATTTTATAAACTGCTGAGTGGCTTTAAAGGTATAAGGTATGGGTGAGCAAAAGGTTTCTCGTGATTGGTGCTCGCGGTGACCTAGAAAGAAGTTGCACCACCCATAGGTTTGTTTGTTAAACAGAGCGTCTGAAAGAATGTGGTTGCCAAGCGCGCAGAGATACAGAACTTCGAGATGATGTTGTCGAAAAATGAGACATGCATCAAAGATAGGAATTTGGTATTCGATCCATTATTTACTAAGCATGCGATAAGATACAGCTGGCAGAAGAACCGAAGAAAAAATCGACAAAGCGAAACTGTGTTGCAACCAGTGTTGTATTACTGTCACTTTCTAGACAGCAGCTTACTGTTTACTGTGCTGCATTTCCTTTTTACTTTACTGTTACTAATTTTTTCAATAGCGTTTACTGTTTACTGTCAATTTACTCACTGTTTACTAAGTAATACAACACTGGAACTTGCAACGGAATGTCGTGGGCCTTTTGGGCAAGCACAAGAGATTACGGTGTTGATCAGTGCTTAGCCAACGAACTTCTTTTACGTACTAGACACATCCACCTTCCGAGATTCTTGTGCGAGCTCTCAAAGGGCGCCGTCCACCCTTCTGACGGTGCCTCCAATAATACTGCAAAGGTTACGTCGCCATCATTGAAACAGAATGGAATCAGGCGAATTTAGCAAGGGCGTTGAATGGCAAACAGCCAACATAAACTTTTTTGGACTATAGCATCAGTGGAATTTCTTAACAAATTTTAAGTGGGAGGGAGACTATTCAGACTAGGATGGTCCTTGGGTGACTGGGTCGAACCGCATTTTTATTCAGGTCTGCTTTAATTTAAAGTTTAAACCTTGCTGTATTGCAAGCCACGCCCTCAGCATGGCTGCATTGAAAAAGATGCCTAACTCATACGGTAATAATAAAAAATTGAATAGCTAGTTATTTGTTGGTTTGTCACCTAGAGTAATTTTTAAGAGAAGCTGTCCGAACTTGGCGCGGCACCCCTGGCCCTGTACATTTGAAGATCCCGTATTAAGAAGACATCTCTTTGATTATCAGCTTACGTCCGGTAACTGGTTATTAGCGAATTTGGGCAAGCGCCAGCATTGGCAGTAGCATTAGCAATAGCAGTGCTCACGGCTATGGCCAAACGCACTGCAGTCCGGTTACTTGGCTGCCCAACTCCGGTGTTGGAGAAAGCAACAGCAATACTCGTATCAATACTGTGCAGGGCACTGCAGGCCCGTAGCGAGATCCCGGTTAAATTTTCAGAACTCCTCCCACACTTTCCATCAGAAATTTTTTCAGAATAATCTGTTGGATTCACCGTAAAATTCTAAACAAAATAGTGAGGTAGATTTTTGAATTTCGCTTTCCCCCTAAAATCAATTGCACGGGCGGTCGCCCATACGACACCTGATATTGGTGGGGGGGGGGGTTTCCCTCAAGTCACTCCAATTCCCCAGCGCTCAGGGGGCAATACCTCAAAATCTCGGGTGTCCTAGGTGCAACCGCCCGTGCAGTTGATTTTAGGGAGAAAGCGAAATTCAAAAATCTTCCTCAACCATTTTGTTCAGAATTTTACGGTGAATCCAACGGTGTATTCAGAAAAAACCTTTGATGGAAAGTGTGGTAGGAGATTTTTTTAAGAAAATTTATTATCTGATATTGTGCACTCGTACAGCCGTACTGCAAAAGCGAAAACTGCCCAGTGTCTACTTTGGAAGAAAAGTCAACTGAAACTTGAAAATCACAACTTCAAAACTCTCTGGTCCAAAACTGTGATTTTAGTATTGCTGCAGCTTTATTATGACACTGTTTATTGGGCAAAGGCCATCAGTGTAACAAAAGTGCATACGCGTAATACTACTTAAAATGATACAAGTTTAAACGTTAAAAAAACAACCAAAATCGTTATCGCCGTCAAAAATCCTAGGACGCTTTATTATTCATCTTAGTCTCGAATCCTTTTGCTTCTCTAACCAACTTGATTAAATGCATTCATAACAGCATTAATCTATCTGCACCATGCCAACTGCCAAACTGGAGACACGCGAAACTTCTACGCCAGTCAGGGTCTTTTATTGCTGGCTTAGGATAAGTTATTTTATTGTTAACAATAAAAATCCTTTCCTTGTGGAGAATAAAGGTGTAGCACGGACTGTAATCTTGCAAATCTATGTTGAAGTTTGTCGAATTACATAAAAAGCGGGTATTCTGAATTTTGAAATTCGTGCCCGATCGGAAGCGAGGCACGATGCGATTTTTACAGG